ATATTACGAACAAAAATTACTCTTTCAAGATTAATGTTTGACTACAATCTGCCCTCTACTCCCCAAAGCCCTCATTTCCATCCACCCCTCTCATTTGCTCAGAAAGCCAGAGCTCAGGGACTCAGAAGAGGACAGCAAGGCCAACATGTGCGGTTTCAGTAGTAAAAGGGGCCTCATGGAAAGATCACATCCCACTTTATACTCTCTGTCCACTTAAGGACTGTGGTTGACTTATGATTGCTATTGGAAAGAGGAATAGAATTGGTCACTCACAACAGTTTTGTCTCTGCTCCCCAAACTCACACAAACAAATATACACACAGATACATGTGCTTATGCATCTACAAACACACACATACACACACACAAACACACACACACACACACACAGACACACACGTCTAATACTGAGGCCTGAAATGTGAGAACAGACACCACCTTGGGCAGGCCATGACTTGCAGGCACTATTGTTAGCTTTCCCTTTGAAGTCCATCTCCATGTAGCTCACACTGTCAACACTTATAGAACATAGTATTGAAGTTTGAGCTTAAATACTGACCCCACAAGATTGAAGCACACATATTAATTCTATGTATTACCACTGACAGATCAGCACTGAGAGGAGGACCAGCCCCTCACCAGAAGTTCACATATTGCAGTGAGAACACTACAATGCAGTGGTTCTCAACCTTCCTAATGTAGTTCCTCATGTTTGGTGACACCCAACCATAAAGTTATTTTTGTTACTACTTCATAACTGTTATTTTTCTACTGTTATAAATTGTAATGTAAATATCTGACAGGCAGGATATCTTAGGATACCACAGTGAAAGAGTTGTTCAACCCCCAAAGAAATCAGGACCCACAGGTTGAGAACTGCTGCTATAATGAATAGTGAGAGTGTACACGTGAGTGGAGGGTGAGTAACAGCGAGAGTATGTTATGTGTGGTGAAGGAACCACCAATCTCTGTGTAGATATATGAGGCTGGAGTCTACCTGGGATTGAAAATTTGGGCACTGAGACCAAAGACCTTGAGCTGATTATTCATGCATTCAAATGAATGAATGAATGAATGAATGAATGAATGAATACAAAAATGAGAGAAAGGAAGAAAAGTAAGAAGGAAACTGAGGCCAAGGGAAGTATAATTTGGATGTAAATCTCAGTTTTCTGCATTGCTTTGAAACCTCCAATATGGGACTTGAGATTGAGACTTCCCTACTCAGCAGGCTTCAGATTCCCTTCAATAAACTCCTAGTCAAAAAGGTTCCTGTGTTCTTTCTAGAAAAAGAATGCCCTTGGTCCTCTCCCTCTCTCATCCACCAAATTTGCTTTAGAGACATTTCCAAGCCTCTGTCCTCTATTGCCACCAATCTCTGGCTTAACCTCTTTCTGCTTCATGCCAGCCCAACCCTCCAACTTTCCTACCTGTACTGACCTTTCCCGATCCACCCTTACTCATCCCAGCCTACAGGAACTATGGCCAGACCCCGGGCTATGGTGCCAAAGGGAGAGCTAATCTGCCCTGCTCACCAGATGAGTACAGAGAGTACCTTCCCAACCCCAGCAAACATGGACTCACCCATTGGATAACCGGCAGGTCCCCCGGGACCTAGAACAAAATAAAATTACACCCAAAAGTTAGTCTCTAAGATTCACTTTTGACTACATTCTGCCCCCTACTCCCCAAAGCCCTCATTTCCATCCACCTCTTTCATTTGCCCAGAAAGCCAGAGCCCAGGGACTCAGAAGAGGACAGCAAGGCCATGGAGTGCGTTTCAGTAGTAAAAGGGGCCTTGTGTAGGGATCACATCCCACATTCCTGGCACTAAAGTCACCTGCTCACTTGTGAAGTAGAATTCCTACTGCTATTCCATTTGAAAGACTCAGTCTCCACTCCCCTTTCTTCCCCCCACCTCACAGATTACCCCCCCACACACACACACACTCTGACCCTAGTACCCAAAGAAGACAGGTGGCTCTCTTGTGACCAGGGGCCAGGGTAGGTCATAGCAGGGAGGTAAAGAGGTGCTAGGAGGAGCTGGCTGTGGAAGGTTTCCCTGTGGGTCTGTTGGGACTGAGCACCAGGAGTGTGTTTCTGGGTCCAAAAAGTGTCAAGGGCTCAGCATGGCCTGATTTCCAAGTAAAGAACCTGCCCAACTCACCTTTTGAAAGGTATTCTCCTCATCATTATCTGAGATGTGTTGAATGCATGGGTGGGAAGAAGCCAGGTCAACTGAGCCAAGGGTAACCTTGCTAGAGCCTCTCACATCCACACACCTGCAGCCCCAACACTGCCTCCTCCAGGCCAGGTGTGGCAGCTTGCTCAGAGTGCCATGGGGACCCTTTGCATCAGAATCACCTGGGACATTGTGGAAACTCAGAGTCCCTCACCTCACTCCATACCTTCTTCATCAGGCTCTCTGAAAAGGAGGCTGGAAACTGCCTTTTCAATAGGCACCTGGGCAATCGTTACCCACTCTAACCTTACATTGGAGATCGGCCTTTTCCATGGAAAGGACACCCCTTTTCCTGCTCTTTGTCTTCCTCTCCAAGAGGCTCCTCCCTCACATGTCTACTCCCTTCCTGCCAGGCTCCTGGGTGGTTTCACATCTCACTCTGAGAATGTTCACCATTCTGAAACTCCTGATAATGAGATTTAAGTCTTTCACATGGGCCAGGAGCCCATGAAGGAAGGACACAAAGGGATAGCAGTCCCATTAAAGGAGACCCTATAGGCCATGCTGATGCAGTATCCAGAGAGAAGAGAGCCCAAGGCAGGAGTAATCAAGTGTGTGGTCGTTGATAATGACCTGAGGAAATTCCCTCGAGGACAGACTGCAGTGGGAAGAGGCATGGACACCACGGAAGCAATGAGTCCAATGCAGAAGATTCTTTATAGAATTTGTCTGTGATGGGACACTGGGTGGGAAGAGAGGACACGCCTAAGAGAGGGGTTATAGGATGACAGAGATCTGACCTTGTGATCATTTCAGGGGAAGGGTCCAGGTGAACTCGAGAGAGGGAAGATAGATTTGGATAGCCACCTTATCACACATTTATCTCCATCAGCTCTAGAGAGAGTGTCTCACTTCCATTTCATAGGTAAAATGGGGGACAGAGGAATTCTGATTATCTCCAAAGTCACAAAGCAAGCTTATGGCAAGTTCTTGAACTCTTCTTCACATTAGTTTACTCTATGAAGTGTCAGGAGGATGGAATTAGCTCATGGAAGTGCAATGCTCCCTGCACTGGGCCATTTTTTATAAAGGTACCTTGTAGCCACCCTTAGGCCTGAACTGTAGAGACAGACAAGCCCCATGAGCAGGACATGACTTGCAGACACTGCTATGAGCTAGCCTTCAAAGTCCATTTCCACTTCGTTCACACTTGTCAACACTTATAAAACATAGTTTTGAAGTTTGAGCTTAACTACTGCCCCCACAAGATTGGAGCACACATATTCATTCCATGTATTACCACTGACAGAACAGCACTGAGAGGAGGACCAGCCCCTCACCGGAAGTTCACATGTTGCAGTGAGGACACTATAGTGCAGTGGTTCTCAACCTTCCAAAATAGTTCCTCATGTTTGGTGACCCCCAACCATAAAATTATTTTTGTTGCTTCTTCATAACTGTAATTTTGCTACTGTTATGAATCATAATGTAAATATCTGATAGGCAGGGTGTCTTAGGCGACCCCCGTGAAAGGGTCATTCAACTCCCAAAGGGGTCATGACCCACAGGTTGAAAACCGCTGCTATAGTGAATAGTGAGTGTGTACACCTGTGTAGTGTGGGTATGAGAGAGAGTATGTTATGTGTGGTGAGGAAACCCCCAATCTCCGTGTAGACATATGAGGCTGGCCTCTACCTGGGATTCAACATTTGGGCACTGAGACCAAAGTCCTTTAGCTGACTATTGCATGCATTCGAATGAATGAATGAATGAATGAATGAATGAATGAAAAAAGAAGCGAAAGGAAGGAAAGTAGGAGGATACTGGGACTAAGGGAAGTATAATTTGGAAGTAAAACTCAGTTTTCTGTGTTGCTTTGAAACCTTCAATATAGGTCCCTTTAGTAAACACCTCGTAAAAGTTTCCTGGATTCTTTCTAGAACAAGAATGTCCTTGGTCCTCTCCCTCTCTCATCCACCAAATTTGCTTTAGAGACATTCCCAAGCCTTCTGTCCTCTACAGCCACCATTCTCTGGCTTAACCTCTTTCTGCTTCATGTCAGTCCAACCCTCCAACTTTCCTACCTGTACTGACCTTTCCCGATCCTTCCTTACTCATTCCAGCCTACAGGACCTATGGCCAGACCCCAGGCTATGGTGCCAAAGGGAGAGCTAATCTGCCCTGCTCATCAGATGAGTTCAGAGAGTACCTTCCCCACCCCAGCAAACACAGACTCACCCATTGGATAACCGGCAGGCCCCATGTCATCTAGAACAAAATAAAATTACACCCAAAAGTTAGTCTCTAAGATTCACTTTTGACTACATTCTGCCCCCTACTCCCCAAAGCCCTCATTTCCATCCACCTCTTTCATTTGCCCAGAAAGCCAGAGCCCAGGGACTCAGAAGAGGACAGCAAGGCCATCGAGTGGGGTTTCAGTAGTAAAAGGGGCCTTGAGGAGTGATCACATCCCACATTCCTGGCACTAAAGTCACCTGCTCACTTGTGAAGTAGAATTCCTACTGCTATTCCATTGGAAAGACTCAGTCTCTACTCCCCTTTCTCCCCCCCAGCCTCCTCCCCGCCCCCCCCACACACACACTCTGACCCTAGTACCCAAGGAAGACAGGTGGCTCTCCTGTGACCAGGGGCAGTGTGCTTCACAGCAGGGAGAAAAGGAGGTGCTAGGAGGAGCTGGCTGTGGAAGGTTTCCCTGTGTGTCTGTTGGGACTGAGCCCCTGGAGGGTGTTTCTGGGTCCATAGCGGGTCAAGGGCTCAGCACGGTCTGAGGTCCAATTAAAGAACCTGCCCAACTCACCTCCTGGAAAGGTTTTCTCCTCATCATCATCTGCGATGTGGCAAATGCCTGGGTGGAAAGAAGCCAAATCAGCTGAGCCAAGGCTATCCCTGCTGGAGCCTCTCACATCCCTGCACCTGCAGCCCCCACACTGCCCTCTTAGGGCCAGGTGTGGCAGCTCTGCTCAGCGTTCCCTTTGTATCAGAATCACCTGCAACACTGTGGAAACTCAGAGTCTCTCACCTCACTCCATATCTTCTGCATCAGGCTCTCTGAAAAGGAGGCTAGAACCTGCCTTTTCAATGGGCACCTGGGCAATGGTTACCCACTCTAGTGTCACATTGGAGATCAGCCTTTTCCATGGAAAGGACATCGTCTCCTTTCTGCTCTTTGTCTCCCTATCCCAGAGGCTCCCCCATGACATGTCTACTCTCTTCCTGCCAGGCTCCTGGTTGGTTTCACATTTCACATAGAGAAATTTTCATAGTTCTGAAACTTGCCTAAAAATCATATTGATGTGTTTGACAAGGGCCAAGAGCCCATGAAGGAAGGAGACAGAGGGAAAGCAGTCTTATTATAGAGATCCCGTAGGCCATGGTGATGCAATATCCAGGGCGAAGAGAGTCCAAGGTGGGAATAATCAAATGTGTGGTCGTTGATAATGGGGTGAGGAATTCCC